ATGTAATTTATTTCTCCCTCAAATTTGATTAAATAGAAAATTTGCATTATTTTCTTAACAACAAGTTGGATGATGATTTGATGATGTAAAAATGTGCATTTGTCTTTACCTTTGGAACTTTCGATCTTGTTTATTTTTGGCAAAACTTGTCAATCATGTTGTTAATGTTAATCATTTGCAAGTGATAGTCTAACATGGTTGGTGGAAATTTCACTGTGTAAAAATTTTTTCTTAAAAAAAAAAAAACGTGGCAAACTGAAGATCACTTGCTGCATGGGTACCCACCCCCAGCGATTACTGTTGTATTGCACCATAATTGATCTTCTTCTAATAATAATATATATAAAATATCACTCATATCATATCAGGTATGATCTTGTTATATCCGATATGTATGTGTTAATTGTCTGTTTTCAAATTATTAAAGATTGTCCAATGTTGTGATATTAAAATTCATGAAATGAAATCATGAATATCAACGTATTTAATTATACTTTGTATGAATTGCGTACCTATTGAAAGCACGACAGCATAAGTGTGCTACTGTAATAGATACAAGTACGCACGAGTTTAGGATATGCTAATGGTATAGATGATTCTTAATAAACTATGAGTAAAAAATACGAGTATAATAAGACTCATTATTAATTTGTACTCCGTAATATGTTTAGAATTATCAACTAACTACTCATAATAATTAAACTAAGCAAAAATCTTTTCAAACAACAATAAAATAAAAAGACCTTTAAACCCATGACCTCTAAGATTTTATGTATTGTTTTACCTATACTATATGCAATAAATTAAGTAACTAAATAATATCTTGTATTCAATTGACGAAACAACATCTAAATTTCTTTTACGTGGTAGCCTTAAAAAAATATAGGAAAATTTATTCTAATAATCCCACCTTTAGTCGGTTCGCTGCTAATAATCCCACCTTTATAGGGGATTTTCATCTATTGGTCCTTCTGACCGGTAACCTGTACATTGGTAAATTTTTTTTTTTAATTTACGTGACACGTGGCACTAGATAATTGGTCAAAAATTTTAAAATAAAAAAAAACTTATAACAAATTTTGGTAAAAAAAAAAAAACCTAATTTTTTTTTATCCCCAACGATCACCTAACCCCCCAACCTCCGGCAGCCCCTCCTCGGCTCCTCCCCATCCCCACCGCTGGAACCCCCATCCCCACCCCTGGACCCCCATCCCCACCGCCGGAACTCCCATTTCTACCACAGGAACACCCATTTCCACCCCCTCCCAGCAGCAACCGACCCAGCTCCCCCTAAAACCACCCCGATTTTCAATAAAAAAAAGTAAAAAAAGAAAAAAAAAACTTTCAAGAGCAGTTAGAGGGGGTTTTCGGTGGAGTTTCGGGGGAGTATAGGGGTTTTCGGTGGAGTTTCTAGGGTGTATAGGGGTTTTCGGTGGAGTATTGGGGGTTTATGGCGGTTTTCGACGGAGTTTCAGGGGTATTAAGTTGTGCTAGTTGTGGTGGTTTCGAGTGTGGGTTTGAGTCAGGGGTTGATTTCTGTGGTGGATTTGATCGGTGGGGTGGTTTTTTATTCCCACCGACCGTTTTTGGGTGTTTATGGTGGAGGCCGGCCGGTTTTCGGTGGGGCTAGGGTAAGGGTTAGGGTTTCATGGTGGGTGGAGGGGTGGCTGATGGGGTTTTGTTGGTTTTTTTTTTTTTTTTTTGGTTTTTAATTTTTTTTTTCAACAAATTACAAAATGACATGTGGCATTTTAACCTATCAAAACCGGTTACCAACAAGTTAGGGACCAATAGAAGAAGTTCCCCTATAAAGGTGGGATTATTAAATAATAATCCAAATGTGGGATTATTAACAGCGAACCGGCTAAAGGTGGGATTATTAGAATCAATTTTTCCAAAAATATATAGGTCTAACTTTCCTAACATTTTTTTTGAATATATACTAGAACAAAACCCTAACTTTAATTAGATTGTACTGCAAATGTTGTGTCGCTTTCTATTGAATAATAAATTAATTTCTTTTTTTTTAAAAACCCTAACTTTAATTAGATTTTACTGCAAATTATTGAATAATTAACTAATTTCTTTTTCAAAAAAACCCTAAGGCTTTTGTAACAAGGCAAAAATAATGTCTTGTAAAAAATTAAGCTAGGTAGCATGAGCTTTCTTTAATAAAAACAAATAATAGTAAATCATTATCACTATCAACTTGTCACGGGCTCTAAACTCTGATACGAGGCAGCAATGCAACTCTATCTTTTGTTGATTTCTTGTCAACTTTGCCAAACTATTTTTAGCCTCTTTAGATAAATGATGATTTCTTGTACCAATCTAATCTGATTTTGTATTTCTTGTTGGTAAAATATAAAACTTAACATTGTGTTTTACGTGTGGCTGACCACACTATGTGATCGCTTGTAAAAGAATAAAGTAACCCTTATAACACTAACCGGGTAATCCCTGTAATATATATCAAGTAACCCCTATAACAATGACTGAGTGACCCTTATAAAACTGACGAAGTAAATCTTGTAACACTGACCGAGTAACCCCTATAACACTCACGAAGTAACACTCATGATGTGGTCAACCACATATAAGAATTTGTGAAAACCTAAAATAAATAGTATATTTAATTTTAAATAACGACTAATATTCAATGCTAAGAAAATCTTAAATTTAGTTTAATTTTAGAGAAAATAAATATGTAAATTAAATTCTAAATAACGGCTAATATTTAATGCTAAAATTCCCATTTATTTATTTTGAGTCTAGAGAAGCTAGAAAAGAGTTTAAGCAACCTAATGTAGATAAGTGTTCGATAGATCCACATACAAGCAAAGGGTGTTGCATATTAAAATCAATTAGTTACTGTAAAAAAAATCCTTCTACCTTATAAAATGACTTTATCTCAATTTCTCCGATGTCTATATTAAACTAAGCTATGAATATTTTCCTTAAAAATATTACATCATGTTGCTTTTACACTGAATATTTATTTTGTTTATATAATTTAACCGCTCCTTTTTATTCAACTTTCATCAATTGGAGGGCCCCAAAATTGAGGCAATATATGCTCACTCAAAAATAAAATGTTGGACCGAGTATCCCATTGGGTAATAAATAATTGTCTTGTTAGAGTCAATGCCAAAGTTTTTCCAAGAAATAAATAAATAAAATAAAATAAAAGAAGTAACAGAATAATTGCCAATTGGGTTTCATAACTACTTCATCACTTTCGTATAGTTTCATCTTTCATCCACCCATCCCTTTCTAGCTAGGGTTTATCGTACATTGTAATTATATTTTAGGCCTAAATGTTAGATTGGGACATGCCCTCTTCTGCCCTAACAACAACACGTCAACACACAAATGTGTCTCTATTTTTAAAGATCCGGTTTTAGTTTGATACCCCATTTGCATGTGCACATTATTAAAATACAAAGAATTCGTTGAGTAATTATTTTACGATAAAAACTATTTATAATTTATAGAATTAATATTTATTGATCAAAATTTATTTTTATAATCCACTAATTTCATATGTTATTTTTTATTTTAAAGTTATTAATTGATTTTAATGATTAATTATTAATGGATGGTTGCATATTATGATGTCATGTGTTCCCTTTATGTTCCCTATTTTTCTTTTTCCATTAGATATAAAAATTACAACCCTTCTCCTATTCTTCTTTCCTTATACCTTTTCAATGTACACTCTTCTAATTATTTTTCTTCCACTTTAAGTAAATGAAGCTGTTTTACCCAAAACTAAAAAAAAAAAATATCGTAATAATAAAACTTTTTTGTTCAAATTTCCCAATTTATTATCGAATTAGATATTTTTACAAAAGAAAATCATTATAAACTAAAATTACATCATTGCATTATTTGTAATTTTTTTATTTAGTCCATAAAGTTATATTTTATTAACTAAAATTGATTTCCAATGAATATTATTTTTTAAGGGAAAGAATACATACTCCGTACATGGTATATATGGATTGGGAAAAATGTCTACATTTCAGTGGAAAGAATTGGCTTGTAGATTCGATTCAGATTGGAAGTACTCATATTTTTTTGGATTAAAATGGGATTTAATAATTTTAGATTCCAAAGTCTATACATCAATCCTGTGTTTTAATTTGAAGGGTATATAAAGTCTCTGAATTACAAGGCTCTATCATGTATGTGTACATTATCTTCACTTAATTTAGGGGAAAAATCAGATAAGAGTTAATAAGTTTGGATAAAATAAATTAGAAAAAATAAATTCTACGGAGTACTAAATTAGATACGTTCAAATGAACTATAAATCAAAATCACGTGAACATATATGACTTTCATAATTTTAAATTCCAACTTATGAAATTTGACATTGGTGGAAAAATATTACATAGTACAAAGTAAGAAAAATACTCTAATGCATGAACGAAAAATTTAGATTTATGAGTATCTATGCTATTTCTTACAGCTATTTGTCAAATCATTATTAATACGACAGTAATAATTTAATTGAGTTCATTGTCTTTATTAAGGGTGGAAAATTCTTTAATTGGCTTAAGTTACATACATGTCTTCGATATAGTATTTCTAACCTACATATATCTTTTTGAAATATTGATAAGTAGATTATTAAGTTTAATTGTTTCAAGTATTCAAAACCATGATATTTCAAACTAGAAAGATTTATTGGATTTGCCAAACCCCAATTCGGTCCATCCAATTAATGAAAAACCCAAACACTAATGAAATAAGTAAAATTTTCGATTTTATAATTTTTTGTTTTTGTTAAAATAAGGGAAAAAAAAAAAAGCTAAATTACCTTGTTAAAAATCTGAAATTTTGTTTATACTTTTCATAGTATGTGATTCCTTTCTTCACGGATGTACTGATACAATCATTATAAATAGAACATGCTAAACATAACGTAAGTATGCACAATGAACATAGCAAAAACTAACCAACTTCTATTACAATATTTTTTTAATACTTCTTTTGGAGGAGAACAAATCATGGATAACACTACCCTAGCAATGGTACTTACAATTTGGTTCATTGCTTTTCATTTCATTAAAATATTATTTACTAGCCAAACTTCCAAACTTCTTCCTCCAGGTCCTAAACCACTTCCAATAATCGGCAACATTCTTGAAGTTGGTGACAAACCTCACCAGTCATTTGCTAATCTCGCCAAGATTCACGGCCCTCTAATATCCCTACGTCTAGGCAGTGTCACAACTATTGTTGTGTCATCGGCTGAAATAGCCAAAGAAATATTCTTAAAAAAAGACTACCCTCTTTCTAATCGTACTGTTCCTAATTCTGTCACTGCTGGTGACCACCACAAACTCACCATGTCATGGTTGCCTGTCTCCCCTAAGTGGCGGAATTTTAGAAAGATCACGGCTGTTCATTTACTTTCTCCTCAAAGACTTGATACTTGCCAAAGCCTTAGGCATGCCAAGGTACAACAACTTTTTCAATATGTACAAGAATGTGCACAAAAAGGGCAAGCCGTTGATATTGGCAAGGCTGCATTTACTACTTCCCTCAATTTGTTATCAAAACTATTCTTTTCGGTCGAATTAGCCCACCATAAATCCCAAACATCTCAACAATTCAAAGAACTTATATGGAATATTATGGAAGATATTGGCAAGCCTAATTATGCTGATTATTTTCCAATCTTAGGATGTGTCGATCCTTCGGGTATTCGACGGCGGTTAGCTTCTAGTTTTGACAAGTTAATTGCTGTTTTTCAAAGTATAATCACTCAAAGGCTTGGTAGTGAAGCTTCAAGTACAGCAACAACAAAGACTGATGATGTGCTTGACGTTCTTCTCGACCTCTACAAACAGAAGGAGCTTAGCATGGGCGAGATTAACCATCTTCTAGTCGCAAGTTAATTTTATTTATCCATCAATTACGGTGCAATATGTTATAAATAATTTTTTACAAGCAATAATTGAATATATAATATACGTTTTGTTTGTGTAGGGGCCTAGGGGGAGATTCGAGATATTAATGTAGATAGAATATCATATTAGACCAGCTCTTAGATTCACATCAAATATTTTAACAAATTAAGCTAATTACTACAATTATCAAGCATCTACTAATTCGAAATATTTTTAAATCTAATAAAAATGAGCTTGTGCATGGCATAACGTGATTTTTCAAGAAACACAAAATTACATTATAACGATTCATTGGTTGGATATGTGACAAATATATATACCACATTTATTTATTGGACCATGACACAAATCACAATAGATCAAATTTTAAACTACACTTTTTACTCTTTCCATCTCAAATAATTGTCTTACTATACAATGCTTTGCAACAAAAACAGGAAACAGTAAAAATTAGTCACTTTCAAGTTTGCATGTTAAATTTTAATAAAGAAAATTGAAGGTATAAAGAAGAGAAAAAGTAGTATGAGAACATTAATACAATTGTGAGAGTAAGATTTTGATGTAGTTAAATGAAAAAAACAAAATAATAAGAGAATTTAGAACGCAACCGGTGCATGCACAATAAAACAAGAAAATTCCGTTAAGAACAGTTAAATGATTGATAAGAACATTATTTTATAAGATAAAGAAAGTATACATTGTTAATATATACAAAATACATTCTAGCTAAAAGTGGCAAATACAAATATAATAACTTAAAAAAGCGATATCTGTGATTAAGAGAGTGTTAGACCTCACATATTCTACAAAAATGAAGGGTGCAAATGATTAGACCCCACAAATATCTACAAAGAAATTAATTAAATAAAATTCATTGATTAGGTTAAGATTATTATAAAGCTGTTAAATTAATTGCCAACTTGTTTTGGTTTTTTGCTTAAGTATAATTTTTTGAATGACAAGATATATTTGATGCCGAAACTGACACTACATCAAGTACTTTTGAATGGGCAATGGCAAAGTTAATTCGGAATCCTAAAATGATGGACAAAGCTCAAGAAGAAATTGAGCAAGTCTTGGGCAAGGATAGACAAATTCAAGAATCAGACATTATTAAGCTACCTTACTTACAAGCCATTATCAAAGAAACATTGCGACTACACCCACCAACCGTATTTCTCTTGCCTCGTAAAGCTAATTGTGATGTTGAACTATTTGGCTATGTTGTGCCAAAGGATGCACAAATACTTGTTAATTTATGGGCTATCGGAAGAGATCCTCAAGCATGGGAAAATCCCGACATATTTTCACCGGAGAGGTTTATGGGATCTGAAATTGATGTTAAAGGAAGAGATTTTGGACTGATACCTTTTGGAGCTGGAAGGAGGATATGCCCCGGAATGAATCTGGCTATTAGAATGTTAACTTTGATGTTAGCGACTCTACTTCAATTTTTCAATTGGAAGCTTGAAGAAGGTGTGGATCCAAAAGATTTGGACATGGATGAGAAATTTGGGATTGCTTTACAAAAGACTAAGCCTCTTCAAATCATTCCAGTCCTAAAGTATTGATTATAATATCTTGTATTTTGTGTTAGTCGCCTTTTCTTGTTACAAGTTTTAATTACTTCATAATCATTGTGTTTACTGTTTATTTGTTATATTGTATGTTCAATCAATAAAATGTTGCCAATTGTTAGCTAACTTCTGTGATAAATGCAAATTTGAAGTAGACAAGTATTTCAAACCCTGGTATATGAAATTTGCAATTAGCATGCATTTAGATTCAGATTGGGCTTTGAACTATGCGTAATCTTCATTATGGGCCTACTATTGGACCTCATGTCCCTAAGCTTGCTTCAACTACAAGCCTATATTTGGGCCAATCCATCAATATAGCCCAATCTCCAAACACTTTGCGATATAGCCCAGTTAATGTAAACTGGGCTTAAAGAGTTTGAACGGTCTTGAAGCCTTATTAAGCCTCATGCCCAATTCAAGTAAATCAGGATTTGAACGTGTGTTCTAAAGAATGAACCTACGAAGTATTAAAATTTGGTTCTCACCCAAAAAAAAAAAAACCTTCTTGTAAAGAAACAAGCTAAGTAACTCTCTCGCCTAACTGGCTAATTACACCAGTATTTAATTGGGCATGCAGTATTTAATTTTTCTGTAAATACTTCTTGTAATTCTGTGCCTTAATATTATATGGAATACCACATACTAGTATTTTTTATGCTCCCCCAAGATCAGGATGAAACTAAAGTGCCTGACAAAATCTTGAAACAAGAGGTAATGCGGTATTAACTTGACTCTATGTACAATCAAGTGTATAAATACACCTATCATATTATTTTTGATGACCTTATCTCACTCATAGAGTTCGAGCTACTTAATTGAATAAGATGAAAAAAGCATTTTCAGCATTGGTTAGGTGTCTATTTATATTGATGTTCAAAGTTCTTTGTTCAATAAGTTTAGTGGTTATATGTAAATGTTTAGAAGACTAGGGTGGCTAACACACACATATTTAGCCATGTCGGGAGCTCTTTTGATTTGACCTTATGTTACAACTTTAGTTGTTGACATCATTTAATGAGGGAAAATACGTAGATTATACGAGTGAATGATATTGATATGATCTAACATATACCAACGCTTTAAAATGATTAACTACTTTGTACTTGTATTACTTATAGCAATTCATCATATACACATTTTTTTCGCGTTGTAGCAATTATTAATACTCATATTTTATATAGTTTAGTGAAGAAACCATTCCTATCTTCATATTCTTCAATGCACAACTCCTTAGTGAATGAGTAGTTGAAGAAGATTGATAAAAAGATATGCAATTTATGCGTACACCAACTCGGAATCTGTTTTTGTACTAGCACCCCAGGCACAAGAAGTAATTTCTCAATAATAATCAAAAACTATCATAATTTTATAATGGTCCAACTACACATATTAATATGCTTTGAAGTTCAGTACCAATTAATTTTACTCAAACAACCTTGCACGGCACTTCATTCATGTTCAAATTTAAGTTGCCTTAAATTTGTACTAATTTTAGCATAATGGTCTCTTGCATATTTTTTTAAATTTCTTAATCTTTGTCTTAATTCTGAAATTTCATATTTTTCTATATTGAGGTGTTAAATGAAAATAGATTTTCTATTTCTATTTCTAAAATTTCTATGTTATGCTTAGCAGTGATTAAGGAGGTAGCGTCCATCCAACTAATGTAACGTTGGTTTTTATAGCTCATATGAAGTTTAATAACTTTTTTTTTAAAATAACATTATGGAGGAGACCAACTCTTCTGCTATTCTTTAAGTCAAATTTTGTGGACCGTGCATTTAAAAGCGAGGATAAAAATTAAGAAATCCTCAACCTTAAGAACCTTAAGTCAAGAGAATTCGACCTCACAACATCAATGTTATGAAGTGAGATTTGAACCAATTACACCAATCTTTAGTAGTAGTAGGTACTAGTTGCTTAACAATTCACATATATATGATTCAACAATATAATAAAAATTGCTTCCTCTATTAAGTATTATAAGAGATGGTTATAGGAGACAGATAAGAACTTTATTAAAAAAGGTTACGCCGGGAATAGGAAAAGATTATGTAGTGTGTAATTGTGTATATTATTATTTGGATATTTCATCTATTTACATAATTATCTAATCTCTTTCTCAAATTATATGTCATGAGATTGTGGTGCGAGTACAGAAACAGAGCAACTATTCTACTTGCTGTTGAACTAAAGGATATATAGATACTTGACTTAACGAGCATAAAAAATTCTTAAAAGAAACACTTAAACAGTAAAATATGACTTTCATGACAACTTGACAAGAAGTTGTCTTTCCTTTTTCTTTTCTAGATTCAGTTTTACTATGCAAATATCTAGATCCAATACATCGGAAGTTTCTTAAGTTGATGATTATAGTCTTAAGGACTGGATAGTAGATATTAGACTAATTCATTAATTAGCATACCTCAAAACTAGGGTGAAGAAATAAAATTAAAGAAGTGCTTTTTATGGTCTTTGATCTATTTCACGTCTTTGACCATTAATATATTTGCTGATTATGAATTTTTTTTATAAATATACTTGAAACAATTGGATAAAATCACACATGATATAATTTATTTCTCATATAGCATACAAACTACAAAATGCAATTAGAATTTTTATACTTTGACTACACACAAGAATAGTATATGAGAAGGGGGAAAAAAAAAAAAGAGGGAAATTAATTAAAGGAGTATAAACATTCATTAACACATTACTTGTAAGGGTTTAATGAGCACCATAAAGAGTAATACATTCCATAATCTCAAGTAAAAAAGGGTATACGGTAGCAAGAAAACTACCCGAACAAACCCTTTACTAAATTAAAAACTCAGCCAAAAAACAAGCTAAGCTATTAATCAAAGCTAAATTGGGAGTAATTAATTAAAAACACTCAATATTATGATGTACAAATATTATATTTCATCTCCCAAATAAACCCCTTAATTAAACCATAAATTTATTGCATAAAGTAACACCCTTATTAGCTTGTTGCTTCTTAAACCCAAAGCACATAATTGAACCAAGACCTCCCACATTTCGTTCCTCCTCTTCTTCACCAAAAAATGGAGACTTTTCTCTAGGGTTGCCAAATGAGAAGCTTCTCCTATGAGACTTGTTACACTTCCCTCGAGGCGATGATCGTGGGGACGATGAGCTCGTAGATGAGGTAGACCACGATAAGGGGCTCGAGTAAGAGTTACAGGACGATAATGATAAAGACAACGATGATGTAGGAGTAACATGAGAGGAGCGACTCCTACTACTACGACTAAACGAGGAAATAAAAGCACGAAATATTTTGTTATATTTCGTGCTTTTTTTATTACAAGACGATCCTCGTAACGAGTACGAAGGTGGGGGTGTTAGGGGAGGGACAATATTGTCATTTTTGCTAAAAATAGGATGTTTAGGGGTACCTGGTTGTGATTCCCACATAAAAGGTATAGTTGCACCTGTTGCACCATAATATACCCTAAAAGAAGTTTCACCTGTTTCTAAACTTTGCTTATTTTCTTTGGACGAAAATACCCTTGCCATAGGAAATGGCTCCATTTTTAGGAATTCTTGAGCTTTCTCTCTCTACTATCTTTCTCTCTCTAGATCTGAATCTTGGTTTTGAATGAAATAGTGGAGAAATATTTATTTTTGAAAGGTTTTAAATAGAAGAGGGGAGCCTACCTTCAAGGGCCTAACACATGGAAGTAGGTTTATATATATAAAAATAATATATTAATAAATGTATGTGAGGGTTTATTGCATTAATTATTTGGCTCGGAATAAATAGGCACTGATCCATTTATGCATTTAATAAAATCCTTTAATTTTAGATATGTGTATATATTTTTTTGGTCCGAATTTAATTTTAGATATATAGTGAGATCTCTATATTTTAAATAATTCCTGTGATGATTTTTTTTTTAAAAAAGTTTTGGATGTATTGCTTATAGGAGTAATAAAAAATTATTTGGAATTTTTGATGAATAATAAAATTTTTAGTTGCTAATTATAATACGTTATTAGATTTTATTATATCTTATTATGAATCATATTTTCAGTTATTTGTACAAGGTTAAACTAGGAGTGATGTGTGTGTATCACGAATTTTGGGTAGTATTATACTGTGCACGTGGCTCCAAAAAATGTTTTAGGTACATGTAAATGAGAATTTGTATAGTTTAATGAACAAACAATGTACAAGTCCATTTTATCGCATTAGTACTATAGAATTTGTGATTCAACTATCATTACGGAGCATCACCATTTGCATCAGTCGATCACAACACTAAATTTCTAATTAGCCTTAGTTAACATCACAATTGTAGTTTAGTCCCGTTGGTGTTAGTTTGTTACATTCATAAATTTATAAGAACAATATCTCATGTCCGTCTCACTTAATACTTGTTGAATTCAACTCGACTAACAACGCGGCCATAGTGACAACATAGGAAGGTAGCACGTCTAGCACAAAATTAGTTATGTTGAACGAAGGTACCAAAACAAATGAGTGGGGGTTATCCGAACTAAATTGATGAAGGTGTAATGGTGAGAAGATGGGGCTATGCGGTTAATGGTTGTTGATATTGTGGTTACAATAAATGACAAAAAAAACAATATAAAAATTGTTGGATCACAAAATATTTATACAAGTACGTACTAAAGTAGCTAGGCATAAAAGCATTTGATGATGCATAAACTAATCTATAAACGGTCTGCAGTTGTATAGTTCCCACATGCATGTATGCAGTTTTTTGCAGATTTCGGCAACTATTCTCATCCGTTTTCCTTTTCTTATGGATCTATTTTATGGTTTTTTGTACAAGTTTTATGATCATAGTTTAACCTGAAATTCACTGCTATTTAATTCTTGCATTTTCGGTTGTAATGTCGTGATGTATTCGTGATGCGATCGAGTTTGTGTGTCCAATTTGATAATTCGAGTTTCTAAATTTTGCTATATTAGACCTAATGATGACGGGTTTATTAAATTATACATCTTCTTATTATCAAACAGAAATAATAACAACCGGTCTTTTGTTAATATAAGTAGTATGAGTGTAGATAATAATAAAAGTTTAGATAAATTTAGATAATTTAATTTCGGATAAAATTAGCTGAATCAAACAAAACTTAATTTGTTATTGCATTCAAATGGCCAATTCGTTTCTCATTGGTAATTTGATATAAGCATTTTCCGTTATCACATTTGTATCAATTTATGCAAGTTTAATCCCATATTGGTTGTAAGCTGAAAGTGTGACGCGTCACCCCTATACAATACAATACGAGCAGTCCCTAGCTAACGCAACTTAGGTAGATCATATGGATGATTGCAATAGAATAACAAATTATCTTGACTTTCCTCAGTGAGTTGCTTAGGAGAGTGTTTCTTAAGCTCAGTTAATAGCAAATAAACTGCCATTTTCAAAGTCTCTTGTCTTGAATCATGAATGTGTTCCTTAAGGAAAAACGCTCTCACGGCACCTATGCATTTAAATTTTTAAGTACGTACGACTGCAGGCGTCAATAAACAACGACAACAACAACAATTTTAAACTAAGACAAAATAAAATAATTGTAACAAAAAAATCTGGTTTATTTAATTAAACTTACCAAAATCAAGTTTGCATGCAGTTCATGAGGCTATGAATAATAATAATGTCCAACAACCTCACCAATCTCAATGGATTATGGACCTCAGTTGAAGTTTCTGGGCCTACAAAAATTAATCCAATTGATAGCCACTGTTCACCATATTTGTACGTACATGTAATTTATTTTAGGGCATAATAAGTTTTGGAAAAAGATGGTGTAACGTTTTCCCCTTTAAAAAATCACTTTCAATTCATTAATTTATTATATGGTTAGACCATATTGTATTTCAACTAACATTTTTTTTTTTTTTTTTTTTTTTTTTTTTTTTTTGTATGGTTAGACCCTATTGTATGTCAAACAGCAATATTTGTTTTTTGGGAGGATGAGATAGCTTACAAGAATAGTACTTTCCACAAGTTATTATAATATGCATGTTGAATACTTTCATGTAATAGCTTAGTCACAAAGGTGGAAACAAATTTGATTATGCTATAGGTTGAGCAGCGCATAATTTCCTTAAAAAAAATATTCATCCAAATTAGATTAGACAATACCGATCCAAGATAAAATGGACCAATGAACAAATTTAAAAAGAACGTCTATTTAATTAGATGATTAAATGTGGCATTGAAACCTAACAATTTACAATTATATATGTAGTTATATTATATAACTACATATATAATGGTCCAGTTTTAGACCGGTGTACAACCTAACTTATATATATCTTCACTCCTCAGGCATCAATTGTCAATTGTACAATATCCTTCGTCTAATCCTTGAGAATCATTAAAATTAAAGAAAATAATGTGTTTAGCACCATACTATGTATCGCATATTTATGGCCTTTATATTTCAAAATAATTAAAACAATGACGTATAAGTTATTATCACATTTAATGTATCCAATAAATATTCTTGTATAATTTCATTAAATAGATAATACTTATAATTTCCAAATGCATGACATATACCAAGTGCTAAATACTCAAAAACTAATTATATGTACTCCGTAGCATTAAGCATTATGTATGTCCTCACTAGTCACTATAGGACCCTGATATTATTTTCAATAATAAATATTGCATGAGTAAATTTATTCTGTTGGACGTTGGTGTGGTTATGAACAATCAACAAAGACTCTGTATTACAACTAAGATCGAATCTAAAAACTCACTAACGAAACAATTTTTTTTCTTTTCCTTGATCTTTTATTCTAATCCATAATTAATTCAACTCTGAATATCTCATTTTGCATTAATGTTCTTTATTTCCATCAAAAACACGCAAATCTGTCCTCAAATACCAATTATAAATCTCTATTCAATCATCATAACTTTCAGTGTATTCAATAATTAGTACTAATTGATACACGTAGAAAATTATAGAAGCCTCAATTTCAATTGCTATATAATTTCAAGTACTTTCACGTTAAAATTTGTATGGTATTTGGATGATTAGATTTTTAAACTTTCATTTTAGTTTTTACGATTGTCCGTTGTTTTTACTTTTCACAAACACTTCAACATTTGATTGAAGAGAATTTTTGAAAAAAAATGTTTTTCTACGACCGATAAATGAAAAAGAAATTACAACAAGATTATTATATATCATTCAATCATTTTAGGACTATTGAATATGTTCACATCACTCTTATATATCCTACAAACATAATATCGTTTAATTTAAATCACCATAAATTAGTAACACGGTATCATCATCAATACGATACCATTAACAAGAACAAAATTTGAACCCTCCAAAGAGCCACACGCATAGTTTCTTCTTCAATCATATAGTCGTACCAAGTACCAATATGATTGCTAGGTTAGTACATTAGTCTCAACAATAATTGTACGAAGCTACTATTTATGCCACCACTATAACTCACGAACTTCAATACGTGGAAGGTTGTGCGAGTGCGCGGATCAAAAGGGAATGAAATGTGCAATTTGCGAACTTTACCTACTAAATTATTGTACGGGGATTGATGTTAACAATTGGCAAATTTCACCTACAAAACTACATTAATTAAGTCATGTTGGCCAAATAATTTCCTTGCATTAGTTTTGGAAAGCATTATCTTTGTTTACACGTTGATTATATAATGTACACCCGCATATAATTGGTTTGAGCTCGGTATAGATTGTAAATTTAATTAATTAATAAAACGTCATACAATATATACAAAAGAAATTTGGATCCAAGCATCCAACTAATACGTAACAATTAAATCTAATCATTTACAGTACACAATGATCAAAAGATTCAAAACTACTACACATGCATAGCTGAATAGATCATTGTAGCAAATTAGTAGCACATATTATAGGAATATACAACATTTTCGAATATCATTTCACTAAATTGAATGTAGTTGTACTGTTATTTCGTATAGTTTTTTATTAACAAAACATATCATGATAATCCTCCTAGGGATGATGGACTACTAATAACGAACAACTTCAAAAAAAAAATAGAGACGTACAATAACAAAGTACACTCATTTTATACTTAAATTTAATTTGTTGAATTCAAACTTTTAAAAACTAGATTAACCAACAAGGAGGGTAGAAAATCATTTTGTAAATGTGATATAATTTATTTTTTTTGTTAATGAATCAATTTATTTTATATAAAAAAGTCTATATTAGTCTAATTTACTCTGAAACAACCAAAGAATTGAAACTAAGAAGTGAGAACCAACAAGAGGGAGAGAAAGGGACAGTAGCGGATCCAAAAATTCGAAAAATAATTATAATTAACTATTCAATTAGCTAAAATTTGTCAAGTATTTTCTTTAGTTTATCTAGTAACCATTAATTAATTAATTAATTTGATGGCCTGATTTATTTGGTTTCAATTGATGACTCTTTAAGTAATCTTAATCTAATCCACCGTATGATAATGCGAATATTAAGGAACAAGTGTACATGGATCACATGCTTCTTCATGTTGAGCTCTTCTATGCTCCTTATCAGCTTCTTGTCTTCCTTATTTCTAGTAATCAGTCCTTGTCTTCCTAATCATTTTTTTCATACTTTTGAAAGATAGCATAAAAGATGAGTAAGTATTGTAT